CAGATCAGGGGCAGAGCCAGCACAAGTCCAACATAGCCCTGGCCAATCAGCATCTCCTCATAAAGATAAATTGAATCAATGCATCTCTATGAGGAAAGTTCAGTGTCTGCATGCAGAGGGTGGAGACACTGAATGGCAGTGCTGCACACTAGGCAGTACTTCCCCAGCACCTCTAGCAGCCATCTAAGGAGCGGCCAGTGGAGTTATTTTCTCTGAAAAGACAGTGTTTACTGCAAAAAGCCTGAATGGAATGATTCTACTTACAAGAACAAATACAATAAGCTGTAGTTGTTCTGGTGACTATAGTGTCCCTTTAAGTTTGGAAGCTTAAGAGGGATGTATGGGAACAAAACTTGTGTGCACTGGCTGACATTAAAGTTAGTTTAGGTAATGCAGACGTTGGTCTCTCTAACACTGTGGCATGTCCCCTTTCTTCTACACTCACTACAGACACCTTTTCTCTGTCTCAGACTATATACCAGGAACTTCTGCCTGCTAGTAAGAAGGTAAGGAGACAAGTGGACCAGCGAGTGCTATGGGACAGTCCTTAGAAAGAATGGAGTGAGCGCATCATTAGACGCATTTATGTCAAGCTCAAGGTGCTGCCTGCATAGTATGCCCTTAGTTGGACAGCCTGCAGGATTGGCAGGCAGCCTGATATGCATTCACACCAGGCTGACCTTCCAATTCTTTGGACAAACATGCCCCCTTTTTGGGCATGTTCACCCCTTTTGGCAGGTCTTGTCACGTGATTCGCGCCAGTGGCACACCCTTTTACCCCGCCCATTGACTTCCTGCTTCACTGGACATTGCTGTTAGGGGTTATGGATTTACTTGAAAGATGAAAGCATAAATTAGAGAGAAATTAGCATAGAGTATGTGTTTTCTTATAGCTGCATCCTATGAGTTTCCCTCCAGCACCATCTCCATCAGATACATGACGCTTGGGAGGTATGATTGTTTTAGTGTTTTTGGTCGATAAGATTCCGTAATTAGGCCCATCATAATTGTCAGCACCAGGCCCACTGTGCTCTTAATCCGGCCCTGATGCAGACACTGAACTTTCCTCATAGAGATTCATTGATTCAATTCATCTCTATGAGGAGATGCTGATTGGCCAGGGCTGTGTTTGACTCATGCTGGCTCTGCCCCGATCTGCTTCTTTGTCAGTCTCAGCCAATCCTATGGGGAAGCACTGTGATTGGATCAGGCTACCACATGTCAGCAGACTGCTTGTTTTTCTGAGTCTAACAGCATGCAGATTTACAGCTTCTGGCTTGAATACAATAAGATTTTTACTATATTTATGGAGGCATGAGGGGCCCAGGGGGGCTAGATGGTGGTGTTAACACTATAGGGTCAGAAATACATGTTTGTGTTCCTGACCCTAGAGTGATTCTTTAAGTATATATAACATTTTTGGAAGGAGAGTCATTTTGACCAAATTAATCCTACCTAACCAAATGATTTCAAGACCAAACCATCTCTCAATGTCTTCTCTAAGTTCGGACCAGACCTTTTCTAAATTGCATCTATGCATCTTGGACAAATTCTTGCACAGATTGATGCCCATTTAAGAAATATAGGAATCCCTCCAATCGAAATCATACATTTTCATCATGGTATCCAAATCAAACCATGGTATAAAAAAACTGAAGAGCTTGAGTTTTTGTCGTATTTAATTTGTAATAGGAGATATTGCCAAATTCTTGCAGAATAGACATCAATGGAGATAATGAGGTCAATGGGTTTTTAAAAGAAAGTATGCTGTCATTTGCAAATAAACCAATTTTATGTTCTTTATCCCCTACGGAAATTCATGCAATGTTAACTGATTGGAGTATCATTTCTGCCAGAGGTTCCATTGCCAACACAAATAAAAGTGGCGACAATGGACATCCCTGTCTCGTGCTGTTAGACAATTCAAATGCTTCAGACATGAATTAAACTGCAATATAATGCAAACACTGCTCTGATGAAAGGATCAGGCAAACTGAAACACGACAGTACCTCCCTAAGGTAATCCCAATGAATCTTATTGAACGCCTTCCCTGCATCTAAAGGAAGAAGCAGAGAGGGCGTCCGATCTACTCGAATTTGGTGTATCAAATTTATGAACTGGCATGTGCTATCCGCTGCTTGACGGTTCATAATAAATCTCACTTGATCATAGGTAACTGACGGCAACATTTTCAATAATCTATTTGCTAAATTTTTGAGAATATTTTCGTGTCATTGTTTATCAATGATATGGGACTAAAATTTGAGCACACAATTGGTGCTTTGCCAGTCTGAGGTAATGTAATTATTATTATTTTATTTTTTTTTCATTTTTAAAATTCTTTATTTTTGGTGGAAGCAAAAAATAACAGATATACGTGTATTACCACGACAGCAAGAACACTTATTTAAGTAATATGTCACAGTAAATACATGGCATGGTGAAGATACAATTCGCACAATTTTTAAATTAATACAGAACTGGCTGAAATGTTGTAACAAGAGGTAGCGTGTGAATTGGGTGATGTCGTGGTCACCCGTCTATGTGGATCAGTGTGCCTGTTTCTGATCTGGGAGGCAAATGTAGGGGCCCAGGAGGGGGTATCGTGATCTGTTTGTTGACCCCTACCTCTTAGGAGGATTTGTGGTTAAGTGTTCCCCTCATGTCGTAAAACAGTTGGATTATTTTGGTGTAGCGATACATTGCATAACCCTCCTGTAGAGTTACTTGTCCCTGTCAGGGTATTTTTCATGGGTGTATTTTTGTTGTAATTGTGGGGATGGTGCTTAGCAATGTGTCGCACTGACTTCGATATGAGAGTGCGTAGTTTTGGTTGGGCTATGTCAAGTGTCAAGTGTGTTGTCGTCTTGTGATTGTAAGCCTATATAGGTAAGAGCCTAAGTGTGATTGCGTAACCACGCTGAGCCGGTATGTTGCCACCTGATGTGTGGTAGTGCTAGTTACTATTCGGTGCAGGTGGCTCTTTGTGAGTAGGTCTCCAATCCAGTGAGGGAACAGGGGTGTCACCGGAGCAGGTAAGGTTGACCTCGGGAGGGGAAGCTCTCCTCTTGCGGACAGCAAACTTTGTAAGTTTAATCCACAATTTTGCAAAAACATAAATTAACATAAGAGAAACTTAAATTGCTAAAAGTAATCGAAATCGGAATCGGAAATCAACAGGCGATGGGATTCGAGTCATGTCGTTGTGTTTCTTTGGGCATGAAGTCTGCTGCCTTGTCTCCAATCCAAAATTGCGGACGTGGTTGTGGCGCTGTAGAGTTGTTCTGGTTAGAGAGTCCCAATGCCTCCATTAACCCCTTAGTGACCAGACAGTTATTCAACTTTCTTACCGTTAAGGACCAGGGCTGTTTTTACATTTCTGCAGTGTTTGTGTTTAGCTATAATTGTCCTCTTACTCATTTACTGTACCCACACATATTTTATACCGTTTTTCTCGCCATTAAATGGTCTTTCTAAAGATACCATTATTTTCATCATATAAAATATACTTTTTCTAACTTTGACCCCCAAAATCTATTACGATCTACAATCACCAAAAAACACCCATGCTAAATAGTTTCTAAATTTTGTCCTGAGTTTAGAAATACCCAATGTTAACATGTTCTTAGCTTGATTTTGCAAGTTATAGGGCAATAAGTACAACTAGCACTTTGCTATTTCCAAACTTTTTTTTTTTTTTTTTCAAAATTAACTCAAGTTACAGTGTAACACTGATATCTGTCAGGAATCCCTGAATAACCCCTCACATCTATATGTTTTTAAAAGAAGACAACCTAAGGTATTAAACTTTTCATGCAACCATTTTACCACCTGTCTATGCCAAATAAAAACTAAAATAATAATTGGTCATTTTTTTGACACACATAGCAATTTAAGAATACATGATGTATTGAGAACTTTAAAGGTTACTGCCAAAAAATACCACAATATGTGTTCAGCAACATCTCCTGAGTACAGTAATACCACCCATGTATAGGTGTGTCGGGTTCTCTGTGGGCTAAAAGACCTTATTTCAGTTTTCCAACTTGGAATTTTCACAGCTGGTCATCATGCACCCGTGTTCTATTTGGGACAAGCCGGACAATGTAATTTACCCCCATCAAACCATATATTTTTGAAAAGGAGACAATTTGGGGACCCCAAGCAAAATGGACATGGAGGCCCCCCCAACCCCGCACCACCCCCACCCAACCCTTCCCCTCTACCCTGCCTTCTAAATACACACACACACACTGACAGATATGCATACACTAGCTAACAGACAAACACACACTCACTCAGATTAACACACTCTCTTTTTTTATTTTTTTTTATTTAACCTCCCCAGCCTCCTTACCTTTGGGTACCTCCCTGGAGTCTAGTGGGGCTGGTGGGTGCTTGATCGGGCGGCGCTGGAATGTGACGTCATATTCCGGCTCCCGGCATCAATCTGCCAGCGCGGGGGAGCTGAGCAGAGCGCTCAAGGGAAAGTGCTCCCTTGCCAGCGCCGCCCGACCGACCGGATTGTTAGTTAGCCGCAAGGCTAACAAGACATTTGCCCTGGGCATTTGTGGGAGGCTTTTTTTGCCGCCCCTAGAAAGTGCCGCCCAAGGCAAATGCCTTGTTTGCCTCGCAGCTAATACGTCCCTGGTCGTTGTCTTAGGGCCACAGGTAATTGCTTGGTTTGCTTGCCTTGTTGCGACGGGCCTGCCTCGGGTATTTCATATGGTAGCTTTTTAACACTTTCCATGCACTAATTCTACCACCAGTCTTTGTCAAACATTTGGGTAGTCATATGTGTTATTTTTCTCTCACATTGTACTTTAGGCATAGATTCTCAGTTCCTGTTACGTGTTACTGACAGAGAACACCCCAATATGTGTTCAGCAACATCTCCTGAGTACAACAGTGACCAATGTACAGGTTTATGGGTTTTTGCAAACTTACAGGGGTCAAATGTAGGGCTTTCCTTTTTTCCATGTTTGCACATTGAAATTTGCCAGATTGGTTTGTTGGGCCTATGATGCCTTTGAGACCGTATGGCCAGGGCTGTCCTTAAGGAGGGGCAACTAGTTACTCCTGGGGGGCCTAAGGCAGCTGCCCCATGGGCCCGCTGCGGCACCTGAAGTTATCAGGGACCATGGCCCTTTAATACTGCTCTGGACCGGGCACCTGTAATATGGGGGTTGGCTGATTACATACATACAGCTAGCATCCTCACACACTGCCCTGTGATTCATTTTCTTCTCCGTGGCATGCTGGGAGGAAGTGAGGTCAGATCACTTCCTCCCAGTAAAAACAGATCACTTCCTCCTCAGTGCCGCTGGGGAGGAGGCACACACCACACAGAGGAGAGTGCAAGCATCGTGGGGGAGAGGGACTGAGAAAGCTGATGGCAGACTCCCATCAGCCTGGGCCAGTAAGCTCCCACTGGACCCCAGGAAAACCATTCTTCTGTACCCAAAAGATAAGGAGACAGGAGGGTGGCTAAATATTGTTTTTGTTTGTTTTGCTAATTTCTGATTTCACTTGTATTCATCAAACATTACAAACACCCATGTGTTGGTGTTTATAATGTAACACACAGGGAATAACTACATGTCGAAAATCCTGACAGTTCCCTATTAAATATAAATTTAAAAAAATATTTATTTATAAATATTATTGAATAAAGTGTTATCAAAGGCTGTACACCATTTCCAAATGTCACTTTTGCCAAACTTTCTACCAGGGTATATAAGAACAGAGTTGAGACATTATATTGGCCAAGGTTGCTGGGAGTTGCTGTCCAGGAGCTACTAGGGGGCAGAGATTAAAATATGTAAATTTACACATACATGTGTGTGTATCTGGCTGTGTTTGTCTGTGTGTCAGTATATCTGCATGTATGCGTACTTGTGTGTCAGTGTGTATGTGTACCTGTGTGTGTGTATGTATGTGTCGGTGTGTGTAAGTGTGCATTTGAGTGTGTGGTAATGCATACATCCCACCATTTTAATGCCAACAATGCATACAAACACACTCCTACATTCCACCGCTAACACTGTATACATATACACCCCTGCATTTATACCTTTGTGTGTGTGTACATACCTGTGTCAGTGTGTGTGTGTGTTTGTGTATATCGCTCTGTGTGGATGTGCCAGTGTGTATGTGTGTGTGTGTATCAAAGTGCTTGTATCTGTGTGTCAAAGGGTGTGTACCTGAGTGTGTGTGTGTATATGCCAATGTATGTGCATGTGTCAAGGTGTGAGCATGTGTCAGTGTATTTATGTGTGTATCTGTGTGTTAATGTGCATGTGTATATGTGTTAATATGTATGTGCATACATCCCAGAAATCACACAACATGCAAACAGACCCCTGCATACACAAACATTACATACAAACACACCAGTTTGCTGAAAAACCAATACTACACACAAATGTACATATGCATTTAAAAGACAACACTACATCCAAACAACCCCTTACATACAAACACATCCCTGTATTAAAACGTTAAAATTATATACAAACACCAACTCTACACACAAAAGTACACCTGCATTTAAAAGCCAACACTACAGACAATCACACACCCCTGTATTCAAACGCAAACACTACACACAAGTACACCACTGCATTCCAATGGTAAGAGTACATACAAATACACCCATAAATGCACACATTCACTGTATAAAAAACATGCTTACATTCAATTGCACTGCTCACAAATACAACCCTGCAAGGATGGTAGATCCCCAGCTGGTATAGCATCGCAGGAGTTGTATGACAGATGGGGATCTATATTTTCTTTACTCTTGTGCTACAGGGGAGGTCTAAAACATTTCTTTGCACCAGGGCACTCTCTACATTAGTTTTGCTGCTGGGTTGGGTGGAGGAAGTGATTGCATGCCCAGGGTCCAATCAATATTAAAGATGGCCCTGCGTATGGCAGCCCAGGAATAAAAATTAACCCCATCATGGTATACCATTGGTAAAAGTAGACAACCACGGTATTCAAAGTGGGGTATGTCCAGTCTATTTTAGCAGCCACTTAGTCACAAACCCTGGCACAATTAGCGTTTATATTAGTTTTTTTGCATTTTTCACACATAAACTGAAATTTCCCCGATAATATTATCAGTATTATACATTTTACTGCTCTAAAACACTCATATTTGTGTAGAGTAATGTCTCATGAGTACAAAAGTACCCTATAAGTACAGGTTTTATGGTGATTTGGAAAGTTACAGGGTCAAATATAAGATTTGCCAATTTCTGTTTTTGTAAAATGTTGCCTTTGAGACGGTATGGCAGCCCAGAAATGAAAATTAACCCCACCATGACATACCATTTGAAAAAGTAGACAACCCAGAGTATTCAAAATGGGGTATGTCCAGTCTTTTGTAGTAGCCACATAGCCACAAACGCTTGCCAAAATTAGCGTTTATATTTGTTTTTTGCATTTAAAAAAACCTGCACTTTTACTGGTGATATCGTCGTGATAAGTTTTACTTTTCTAAAACACTTTGTGTTCAGTGAAGTCTCCGGAGTATACCAATACCCCCCATGTACAGGTTTTATGATGTGTTGGAAAGTTACGGGGTTAAATATAGGGCTTTTCAATTAAATTCTCTGGACCTCTGCTTGGGTTGTCAGGCAGGTCTCTCAAATTATAATTAATAAAATCAAATAATCATGTAGGTAATGGTAAAATATATATATGTAGAATGTGTGTGTGTATATATATATATACATATATATATGTATATATATATATATATACACAGTTTTTCCCCACCATAACCTATTTGGATTTTGCTTCCCAAGCACTACCAAGCCTCAATAAGCAAACCAGTAACCAACCTCATGCTGATGAGTTGCATTAACTACGAAACAGCTGTCCATGAGTGGTTCACTGGTTTTGCATCTTTTCCTAAATTGTGTTCCAAGCAGTTGTATACTGCAAACACAGATTAAAAGGAATCCATGTTTAAAATGGAATGAGGCAAAAATGTGATTCTTTGTTAAACTAATTTGCATATGCCCACCCAGAATCCTTTGCGGTTGTAACATCACTGCAGATTTGGAATTTCTGTGGGAAAAGCAAGTCTTATGGCTTGACTGGTGTGCAGATTTTTGTTTAACATTGTAGTAACTATCCACAGACTTCAGGTGGAAGGGGTTTTCAATCACAATTTTTCCCCACCATAACCATGCTGATGAGTTGCATTAACAACGAAACAGCTGTCCGTGAGTGGTTCACTGGTTTTGCATCTTTTCCTTCGCGCGGCACGCAGACTGCGAGACTTACACTGTGAGCTGAACTGGGGAGCTGCACGGAGCTGACAGGGAGCTGACCGGAGCTGCTACAAAGGTAAGTAAGAGCTTGCTCTGGCCCCCCCACTGCACAGCCCATCCACTGGACCACCAGGGAATGTTACAGCCCCCTCCCTGGCCAGGCAACAAGCAGGGAGGGGGTACAAAAAAAAACATTTAAATAAATATTAAAATAATTTAAATAATAATATTTAAAAATATATTAAAATAATTATTTTATTAATATTTAAAAAAAAATAATAATAAAAATGCCCTCCTCCCACCCAGTTTACACACACACACTCTGCCTTCACACAAACACACACTCTGCATTATATACACACACACACACACAGAGTGTGTGTGTATATAATGCAGAGTGTGTGTGTATGTAATGCAGAGTGTGTGTATATAATGCACACACTCTGCATTATATACACACACACTCATACAAACACACACTGCATTATATACACACACACTGCATTCACAAAAACACACACTCTGCATTCGTTATATACACACACACTACACACAAACACACACACGCTGCATTCATTATATACACACACACACACACTTCATTCATTATATACACACACTACACAAACACACACACACACACACACACTGCATTCATTATATACACACACTGTAAATAAATATTTGATTAATGTAATTTTATTGGGATCTAATTTTATTTAGAAATTTACCAGTAGCTGCTGCATTTCCCACCCTAGGCTTATACTCAAGTCAATACGTTTTCCCAGTTTTTTGTGGTAAAACTAGGGTCGACTTATACTCGAGTATATACGTTATATATAAAAATAATAATTTTTTTTTTAACCACTTAAGGACCTCGGACGTATCCGGTACAGCCGAAAAAAATGGTAAAAATAATACGAAATACAGACACTCCTCATTTCCCGATTGGGTTCCGTTCCTACGACCCGGTCGTAGAACAAATTGGTCAGTAAGTGAGAAGTTAAGGGATTCCTCCGAACATAGATTAGAGGGATTACCTGCTCTGTTGCGTTCGTCTATGTTCAGGGATTCCTATATATGTATAATATATTATAAAATAATTAAAGCTTTTTATAACATATTATACATATATAATGTAAATGAAAAAAAGGAGATGCACTCTGTGGTCTTTGTAGAAAAAAATCACTGGTGTTTAATGTAACAAAAAAGTTTACATCTGTCTGATCGACGTTTCGACCTCTTCAGGTCTTCCTCAAGATCTTGATCGACGTTTTAACCTCTTCAGGTCTTCCTCAAGATCTTGAGGAAGACCTGAAGAGGTCGAAACGTCGATCAGACAGGTGTAAACTTTTTTGTTACATTAAACACCAGTGATTTTCTCTACAAAGACCACAGAGTGCATCTCCATTTTTCATTTATTGTATATATTCAGAGTGGGATTGCACCAGGGCATATTATTTACATAGCATCTGAAAGGGTGAGTGCCATTACACTTATATATATATATATATATACATATATAATGCATATGTATGATTTCATTATAAGTGTATTTTGAAATATATGTGCATACCGTATTTTTCGCTCCATAAGACGCACTTTTTTCCCCCTCAAAAGTGAGGGGAAATGTCTGTGTGTCTTATGGAGCGAATGTGAAGCTTTACTTACCTGTCTTGTAGTGTGGGCCAGCAGCACAGCGCGCTCCGTGGTACAGGAACTTAAATTTCAGGTTCCGGTTTCCGGCGGGACTGAAAGGAAGTGTGCACACTGAGTGTGCACTTCCTTTCAGTCCCGCCGGAAACCGGAACCTGAACTTGAAGTTCCTGTACCGCGGAGCGCGCTGTGAAGCCGGCCCACGCTACAAGACAGGTAAGTAATTATGTGACAAGGGGAGGGGGTACTCTATGGGACAAGGAGAGGGTGGGACACTATGGGACAAGGGGAGGGAACACACGATGGGACAATGGGAGGGGGGACACGATGGGACAAGGGGAGGGTGGGACACTATGGAACAAGGGGAGGGGGGACACAATGGGACAAGGTGAGGGGACACGATGGGACAAGGGGAGGAGGGACTCTATGGGACAAGGGAGGTGGGACACTATATGACAAGGGGAGGGGACACTTTATGGAACAAGGGGAGGGTGGGACACTATGGGACAAGGGGAGGGTTGGACACTATGGCACAAGGGGAGGGGGACACTATGGGACAAGGGGAGGGTGGGACACTATGGGAGGGAAAGTGCACTATCGGACAAGGGGGGGGAACACTATGGAATGAGAACACTATTGGACAAGGGGAGGAGGGGTTAACAATCACTATGGGACAGAGGAAAGGGGGGTTAAAATAACTATGGGACAGGGGAGGGGGGTTAAAGATTATTATTGGACAGGAGAGTGGAGTTGGTGGTAAGGAACAAAAAATTCCTTAAAAAAAAAATATTCTGAACAAACTGTCCCATAGTAAGAAACACTATGGAACAGTTCAGAATATTTTTTTTTCTGGGTTTCCTCCTCTAAAAACTAGGTGCGTCTTATAGTGAGGTGCTTCTTATGGAGTGAAAAATACGGTATATCTCAAAGTACACTTATAATGAAATCATATATATGTATGATATATTATAAAATTCTTTAATTATTTTATCATATGTTATACATATATAATATATGTATAATATATTTATTTTATAATTTTTTTTTTTTACTTTTTAGCAGCCTAAGGGAATGCCTGACAGCTCAGACAGTCCCCCTGTGTCATGTATTCATCCGCTTATAAAAATGTAGTTAATGGCATTTACTGTCCACACATGAAAAGTTGTGCCGAGCAGCAACCAAATCCACAGAAGGGTTAATGCTGAGCAGCAATTATGCAAATAGGAACCTGGTAACTGCCTTTGGGGTCAAAGGTCGGTTACAGCCTATCAGATCTAGAGGAGGGGTATTTAGGCCCAGTTCTCATCCTGCTCAGTGCACTGTCGTGGTTTCCCTTGTGGTTGTCATAGAGCGCGTTATTGATTTTGTTTATTCTGGTTATTTGACTTTGGCATTGTTTTTGACTTCCCTGTTTTCTGGCATCCCTGACTCCTGGCTTTTCCTTATAATTGTGTCTCTTTCTGTATCCCTTGACCTTGGCTATTCCTGACTATTCTTTGGTACGTTAGTCCGGCCATTCTAAGGTCCGGTATACGTTACCTATCAGTCCTCTGTGTTACACACTTCTACGTGCTGGATCATTCTGTAATCCTGACATTACGACAGGGACGACATTATGACATGGCCATAGATCCTGTAGAATTGTGTAAGCACATAGCTGCTTGTGAAAGGAAACTGGAGGATAATGATCACCGCATGGAGCAATTTGCCCAGGCCTTCAGTACGCTTCTTACCCAAACAGCACATCTGCAACCTGCGGCCTCACCTCCACCTTGTGTACCTCCAGCTATAGTACACATGGCACCTACTATCTCCCTATCTCCTCCCCTGCATTTCGATGGTAATATTCAAGAATGCCAGGGATTTATTAACCAAATGGAGTATCATTTTGAGACCTCACCGGGATCTTTTCCCACAGACAGAGCTAAAATTGGTTACCTAATGAATCAATTAAAAGGTAAAGCTTTAGCTTGGGCCAAACTATTATGGGAAAGTAATAGGAGTGTGGCACACAATTACCAGGAGTTCCTTACGGAATTCAAACTTACGTTTGAACCTTTAGGCAGAGAGGATGACGCCTCTATTGCCCTGATGCACATCAGACAAAGGAACCGGTCTATCTCGGAATATGCCATAGAATTTCATACCCTAGCTTCCGAGGTAGACTGGACTAATAGTGGGTTAATATCTGCATTTAAAAAGGGATTATCTGAAACTATGCTAGATGAGATTGCCGCCAAAGACTTACCTAAAAAGCTTAATGAATTTATCACTTTTGTCATGCAGATTGATAATAGATTAAGAACCAGAGAAGCAACTAGAAACAAGACCAGACGTATGAGTATGCATTTAGCACCCTGTTTCTCCAGACCTATTGTCCCTGAAATTCCTGTACTGTCCGAACCCGAACCCGAACCCATGCAGCTGTCACTAGACTGTCGGAAGCAGAAAGACAATTTAGGATATAATATTTCTGCCTCGGGGTTTCAGATGGATCCTAAAAAACTAGAGTCTGTTCTACAGTGGCCTTTACCCACTGGGATGAGAGCCATTCAAAGGTTCATTGGTTTCGCCAATTATTACAGAAGATTTATAAAGGGATTTTCTTCAGTAATAGCCCCCATCACCAATATGATACGCAAGGGGGCTAGTAGTACGATATGGTCTAAGGAGGCAATTGAAGCCTTTGAAACTCTCAAACAGCGGTTTGCCTCCGCTGACATATTGATACATCCTGACACCAGTAAGCCTTTCATACTGGATGTTGATGCTTCAGAGACAGGGGTAGGGGCAGTTGTCTCCCAGAGGGAGAGCCAGGAAACTCTGTTACATTCTTGTGGTTACTTTTCTAGAAAGTTGTCTCCTGCTGAGCGCAATTATGATATTGGCAATAGAGAATTGTTGGCCATTATTCTAGCTCTCAAGGAGTGGCGACATCTTCTAGAGGGTTCCAAGAACCCCTTTTGATCATTACTGATCACAAAAACCTGGCTTACATAGGAGATGCTAAGCGATTATCTTCTAGACAAGCTAGATGGTCTCTATTACTTTCTCGCTTTAATTTTCTTATCACCTACAGATCTGGTTCTAAAAATGTCAAGGCCGACGCCTTGTCCAGGCAGTTTGATACTGAGGCTATACAAGAGCAAGAAACGTCCCATATCATTCCCCCGGAATGTATCATTGCGTCCACTGTCCTTTCATTATCCTCTCCACTGCTTGGCTCCATCATGGAGGCTCAGTCTCAGGCGCCTTGCGGTAAACCTCAGGACAAACTGTTTGTTCCATTGGGGGAAAGGGTTAATATCATGAAGGTGTTTCACAACAATGTAAATCCACTTCTGCTATCATGAGGTCATTCTGGAGGGATTGCCTCAGGAAGGATGTTAAGGAATATGTGCAGGCTTGTTCTGTTTGTGCGGTTTCCAAAGTGCCTCATAAACTCCCTTGTGGCTTGTTACAACCTCTTCCTACTCCTGAGGTCCCATGGTCCCACTTGTCCATGGACTTCATTGTTGAACTTCCTAGTTCTAACGGTTATACCACCATTCTCATGGTTGTGGACCGTTTTTCTAAAATGGCTCATTTTATTCCTCTCAAGAAATTACCATCATCTCAAGACCTGGTACTGATCTTTATACGGGAGATTGTCCGTCTACATGGCATTCCTCACAATATTGTATCTGATAGAGGTTCTCAGTTTGAATCCCGGTTTTGGAGGGCTTATAAGCAATTGGGGATTGAATTGTCTTGTTCATCCTCTTACCACCCCCAGACTAATGGTACAGCTGAGAGGGCTAACTAGTCTTTGGAGTTATACTTGCGTTGTTTTGTTAATAGCACTCAAAACAATTGGTCCGAATTATTACCATGGGCCGAGTTTGCTAGGAACAATGCTGACCATGATTCCTGTGGGCATAGTCCATTTTTGTTAATAATGGCCGGCATCCTACTGTCCTACTGGCTGTTTTTTCTGATACGGCTATTCCTGCTTTGGATGACCGTCTGGCTTCCATCCGTGATACCTGGGTTAAAGTTTAATCTGCTCTGGGTACTGCTGCTGACTGTTTCAAGCATTATGCTGATACACGTCGAGGTGCCAACCCTGTTTACCAAGTGGGTAGGAGGGTTTGGTTATCTTCTCGTAACATCAGGCTCAAAGTCCCTAGCATGAAATTTGCTCCTAGGTTCCTTGGACCTTTTCGTGTCCTTCGTAGGATCAATCCTGTTGCGTACTCTGTGGCCCTTACGACCTCGTTGAAAATTCCTAATACCTTTCATGTGTCCTTGCTCAAACCTCTTGTTTGCAATAAATATACTGTTTCAAGTGTCCCTCCTCCTCCCTTAGTTGTTTCTGGACAGGAACAGTATGAGGTCTCCTCCATAATTGATTCCAGGTTTTCTCAGGGCACTTTACAGTACTTGGTGGATTGGAAAGGTTATGGACCAGCCAATCGTTCTTGGGTTCCAGCATCTGATATACATGCTGGCCGCAAGATTTGCCATTTTCATGCCAAATTTCCTCTCAAGCCTGGTCCTGCCCGCCTGGTGGGCGTTCTTCAGGTGGGGGGGTAATGTCACGTATTCATCAGATTATAAAAATGTGGTTAATGGCATTTACTGTCCACACATGAAAAGTTGTGCCGAGCAGCAACCAAATTCACAGAAGGGTTAATGCTGAGCAGCAATTATGGAAATGGGAACCTGGTAACTGCCTTTGGGGTCAAAGGCCGGTTACAGCCTATCAGATCTAGAGGAGGGGTATTTAGGCCCAGTTCTCATCCTGCTCAGTGCCCTGTCGTGGTTACCCTTGTGGTTGTCCGAGAGCGCGTTATTGATTTTGGTTATTCTGGTTATTTGACTTTGGCATTGTTTTTGACTTCCCTGTTTTCTGGCATCCCTGACTCCTGGCCTTTCCTTATCATTGTATCTCTTTCTGTATCCCTTGACCTCGGCTATTCCTGACTATTCTTTGGTACTTTAGTCCGGCCATTCTAAGGTCCGGTATGCGTTACCTATCAGTCCTCTGTGTTACACAATTCTACGTGCTGGATCATTCTGTAATCCTGACACCCTGCTGGCAGCTCCGTAGACTCCTATTGTGACCATCTGATCATGGTGATCACGTGGCCCTGAAGGTGTCACGTTTTTGATCCTGTTGTGTGTGTTCAGTTCCTGTCTCTTGAAATTAATCTCCATATTGACCCGGCTTCTGTCTTCATTTATCCTGATCTCTGGCATCCCTTGACTTCGGCTACACTTCGTTAATCCTGACCTTTGGCATCCTTTGACTTCAGCTATCCCTTGACTGTCCTGCTGTTTGTGTCCTTGTCGGTACTGCATTGGAATCACTTTTCCTGCACAGCCCCCGTGCACAGATTTACAGTCCAGGTGGATTCTTATCTGGTCACCTTGGACTGTGTCTATCTGCAAGGGTGAGCAAACATATCTGCTCTACAGACTACCATCTCAGGTAAGACCCTGACAGAAGGGCCGACTGGGATTTGCGTGGATCCCCGGTCCAGGTTAGTCCAGGGCTACTATTTGCCGCGGACGTACTAGGGTCAAAGTTTACTCAATGATGAGCTATCTGGGGTGATGCTGTTCATCCGGTTAAACTACCGAATGAACAGTCATTCGGTTCCGCTACCGAATGGGAAGGTAAGGAGGCTGGCGGTTCAGCGGTGTTTGCGCTAATAAGTATCCGTTTTCAGTTCCATAGTTTGGGTGCTGAACACCGCTGGCCGTTCGGGAGGTAAAATGGCCACTGCCACGTGTTCGGCAACCGAACAAAGGCCACCCAGCGTTCATCAATTAAGCTGTGTGTGATGAGAGCAATCTCGCCACATTGCATTGGAGAAGCCTGGTTGCCCGCCTGCTGCCTTTAGACTATGGCCCCATGTTGAAACGCTGGATTTTCCCCTGCAAAGACATGAAGGCCGGGTCATTTGGTGCTTGCCCTGTTTGAGCGGGGTGCCGTTACACTGTGGTTAACCGCAGGTTCTGGGCAGTCAATTGACGGCACACTCCAGTTCCCAGGTGGTCCATCGTTCGGTAGTTTGTTCGGTAAATGGAATCTACTGAACACCATGGCAGAAAGGCACGAATAAACCTTTCAGCAGGAAAATAACAGGTCTGAGCTGCAGGGCCATAGTCTAAAGGGAGCAGGTGAGCAACCAGACTTCTCCAGTGCATAGTGGCGAGGTTGGTTCCGCCACACTTCTCCCCTTTACCAATCAGACTAACAGGGTATCTGACCTCCTGCCGGTCAGTGCCCTTGTTAGTCCAGCAGCCCACCCACAATAACTGGTTACTACACCTGGGTAGAGGAGAACTTTGTCCATGTCCAGGTGCCTCACCATGGCTGTGTGGGTGACTGATAAGCGGACTGGGTGGATTGCTGAGTGGGCAGAGACCAGCGGTACTCTGCCCTGGTGCCAGCACTACCACGGGAGTAGTCTGGTTGGAGCCTGGTTGCTGGAGGGGGAGACCGACTGTCTCCCTTTTAGATATACAGCTCTGCTGCTGGAGGGGGAAACCGACTGTCTGCCCTTTGGCTAAACAGCCCTGTCGCTGGGGGGCAGGACCGACCGTCCCTATCCCCTGTGTTGTAAGTGCAGAGACCACGGTCCCATCTGCACGGTTGTGGGGCTTACTGTCTCCCCTGGGTATGTCAAGCTGCCGCTGGGGAGAGGGGGTAACAAGCTCCTCTCCCATATATACTTCCAGCCGCGGGGGTGAGGGGGTAGCAGGCTCCTCTTTCTGACACTCTCTCTGCTGGTGGAGAGGGTGTAGCGGTACTTACCTTACCCGGGGGGCGGCTGAGGTCCTCTCTTCCCGCCGCTCTCACATTTTGGGGGCGTGGATATGACAGGGGCCAATCAAAGTAAAGTTTAGGTATATATACTTACCTCTCCCTTAACTCCCTGCCCTATCGTGGTTTCTGTTTCAGTTCCCTTTAGCGCTTGTTGTGTTCAGTTGTGATTTTCGTGCTTGACCTTGGCTTTGTATCTGACTCCGTTTATCTCTCTATCCCTGTTTTGTCTTGTTTGCCGGCTTACTGACTACTGTGTACCAGACCTTGGCTAGTTTTTGTCCTCGCTGTTTCTTTGTTCCCTTGACCTCGGCTTGTTCTTGACTCTGTCTATTCTCTGCTATACGGCGAGAAAATGGGGGGATGGGTCTGCACCAATGTGCACAATAAATAATAGTATTAAGTCCAATATATGGTTGTTTCTAAAGTTCTACTTTTTGTGATATCCAGAAGATGTCGATGATGTGAAGGATAATCCAAATATGTAAAAATAGAAGAGTTCTTACTTACAGTTGACAGAGCTTAATCCAGCTCTGGTGTGAATGGTTTACAGCGGTATTATCCCTGCTTGCAGGATATGCAGCAAGTGTCCTCTTCTATGTAGTGGCAGGTAACCAAGTTGGAAATAAAAATGGAAACAATAATGGTGCAGTATGTTCCACACGTGCAATAAAAGATATAAAATATAATAGATATACTCACATTCGGTAGAGCTTCGGCTAGCTCTAGTTTGTTAGGCGTGCAGCGTTATAATCCCCGC